GTTAATTTGTATTACATTTGTTCATTTAACATAAACCTAACATAATCATAACGTTAAATAACATTTCTGGTTAAAAATAATAATGCAATTGTCTCTAGTTTTCTAAAATTACAACTATTAGTTAAACTGTGAATTCGAAATTTTAGAAGTTGATCAAATTTGAAAGGCTGCCATATAAAAAAATGTGACAAACTAAAGTGCCTGAGCAAGTTCTATTAAATGTTAGCTCATTTAATGAGGATCGCAAAATGGTACAATACTTGTTAGTTTCATACTAAGAACTAAAATACTTGTAAAGAACCTAAAAAACAGGTAAAAAAATTAAAACCTAAAAATTTAATTTATTTTTGCTATAAAACCCTAAAAATAACACCAACGATGAGATCAGATTTTTGTCGCCCAAACTCAATAAGTTCCAGGACAATCAAAAAGTTTAAACTAGTTAATTACATTATCAAAAAAAAACAATGAATATACATATATCATAGTAATTTACTATTATTATTAATATATATCACATATCAACGCTTATTATTGCTTTCCACGCGTTTACTAAGTTAGTAGACATTACCAAACACGATCGTATCCAGCCGTCATATGATAAATGCATTACTTATCAATTAGTGTGACTAGGTAATATTGTTCCGTGCGGTTTTGGCAAATGCGTTTAGATATGCTCGAATCAGTCAGATTTGTCTATTAGTTATGAGACTGATTACGGACTATTGCTCAATGGCATTCTAGTGCTACTGCCAGGTTGAATGATTGGCTCTGCAGTGCAATGAAGCAAATTTTTGTTTAATATGGTTATGTTATATATGATATAAATAGGTAGACAGTAAAAAAGGCCACAACAAATTTACTTAGAAATAATAGAAAGCAAAAACTGATTGCATTTGGCAGCGAAGAAACTGCAATCAACATCACATAGTTACTTCATAGACAACTTGCGATGGATAAACCTTGAAAAAGAAAGTACTTAAAACACTTTTAGAACAAATATTAGAGAACGACTTATAGAAAGGTTGAACAAGGAAGTAGCGGTGAAATACGACCACAGTTTAGATCCAATATGAAAGGTTATATTCTGACAATGACTGTTCCCTGCATTAGAACATCACCCTTAGAATCTGCTGGAAGATCATCAATGTTTGGAGACAAATGCAAACACAAAAAACCGATCAGCATTGAGTATTTTCACGTAGACAAATGTATAAATTACCATTAATTTTTAACGGTAAATTAACAAAATTAGTGCAAAGCAATCAATCAATCAATTTGACTTTAGGACAAAGGTTAGCTCTTATTATACTTATGGTTGTTTACATGATTGTTAGATGAGAAAAGTGCTGAAATCTATCAATACTGATAAAACTAAAGTAAAAGTTCTATGGTTTGATATTGATTGTTTTTCCTGCAAATACCTGCAGAAATTCCAGCTTGTTTGATATGTCAGAGCTAAAATCTCTCTATTTATATTACTTGCAATGCTTATTCATAATGTGCAAAATCGAAACGTTTATGTTAATGCGAACTGCGTGCATGTTTTGCAACCAGAAACCAATGCATTCGCATTTCAAACCAGCCGTTTGCACTTTCACACAAGAGTTTAGCATATTTATTTATTTCTCCGTACACCAGTGCCAGACATCCAATTCTGTTCTTTTTTCTAAGGATAGTTCTGACATCAGAAGAAACGGATGGAAATAAACGAATCAACACAGACGGGGAACTAGTATCAAAGAAGCTTCACTGTATTCCGTTTCAAAAATCATGGTTACATCTATTATGATTTATTTGTTTTTATTAAAAAAGCAGGAGAAATGAATAAAATTGTAACAAACTATTAGCATTAATTGGAATTATAATTTGTATATGTGGGAATCAACTGATTAACACCGGAATTGAATAAAACCAAAATGTCACAATATTTATATAGTTTTGAATAAATTTCAATATATATTTATACATAATTCTATATTTATACATAGTTACAATAGTAACTATGTTTGTACTAAATACATTTTTTATATACAATGGTTCTTTCAATTTCTTGAAAATTCTATCAAACGTCACTATTTAATAATACTATAATATTTATTCCAAAAAATGTTATGAAAATAATGTAACATAATAGGTATTAATTAAATCGGAGAAAATTTAAAGAATTGAATCATTTTAATGCTGTCATTAAAATAATATAGATACGCCACTGTGTGATACACTAATTTTTAATCAATATTATTTTTTCATGTATACGCTCTACTTAATGTTTTGGTATAAACAGATTGCAGAATAAAGTTGAATAAAAAAATCATTTCGAGATATTAGCTGAAATAAAATCGGCATAAATATATCACATTTTAACATATTCAATAATCATAATTTGAGATTCGACAGAAGTGCAAAATGGCGTCGTCAATTCTTTTCAAATTTAATAAGTTTATACTTTCTTTTGAATGTTATTTCAAATAAATCCCTACATAAAAATAAAATGGTCGAATGCTTAATTAATGGCCTTTGTCTCGCAATTATTAAAACTATGCAACAAATTTGCTCTCAATTGTAAGGTCATTGGTCTTTATTGTTTCCTGCATTTAACTTTCGAAACTTCTGCTTTCATGCTTCTGTGTTTTGTGACTCTTGTAATTCACAGTATTTTTATTTTCTGTTTATGTTGCCGATCACCTGTATTTTCTTTAGTCTTACACATTTTGATACAAAATTATATCTTCTTGGTTATAGTGTGCGCGACAAGGTTTGATAAAGTTCTTCTCCCATACTATGTACAAATAAATACTATGTATACTACTTACTTTATTGTTGATGTTTTAATCCATTTTGACTGTACTTTTTTCTATCAGAATTTTATTTCGAAATAAGAAAAAATAAAATAAGGGAGGCTGAATACGGTTGTGCAACTTTTTTTTACTTGATAAGCAATAATTTTGTTAATATACTAGTCAGCTGGAAGAAAAGTAAATTTAATTGTAATTTAAATATTTGTCTACGTGTGAAAACTAAAATATTGCCATGAAGTATGATGAATTCGTGATAAAATCAAAGCATACGATTGTCCAACCCGAGGAACGTTAGTGACAGCCATAAAAATAAGTTAAAACACAAAAATAAGTTTTTATCAATAACCACAATATATATCACATAATAGCACATAAATATTCAGACAAATCATACAAATATAATCTAACACTATATAACAAAATATATTTTTTTAACAAAGTTAACCAGAATTCTTCGTGTTTTTTTTCTCGTATTGAATTTTTCTTTTTTTTTCTCTTCCGTATTTTGTCTTAGTTAAGTTAGATTTTTTTTATCTGTTTAATATTCAACCAAAAAGGACAAGAAATATACGACACAACCGTATCCAACGTACAGTTTTGAAAACAAATGATCATTATGACTAAACAAAAATTATTTACTAATGTTCAACTTACAGAAATATAAGAAACCAAGTAATCTATATGTATACAATTATGTATACAAACCAGTTATTATTAAAAGAATTCGAACATGAACACTTTCGAAAAGCAATGATACAAATTATGTTCATGCTGGGTAGTGTCTTCTCTATGCATTGATGGAAACTTGTTCGAACTAACATGCATCCTTCTCTATTTTGACCCGATCTCAAAATCAGTATAATTTAGTTGTTATGACGACTGTCACTACCTTGAGTAGGCACAATCGTATACAGTCTTCGCCCTACTAAATAATGATTTTAGAAAATTGTGATAAAAATATTGGCAATCAGAATTGACTTAATTTTATTATGCGCAGAGTATTTTTTTATTTTCTAGTGAGCAATATGTAAAATTGACTATGATTGATATGATCATAAACAATAATATCGACTTATAAAATCTTTCCCAGCTCCTCACTTTTTTATGTTTATACATTCACATACACTCAGGTCATATTGCTAACTTTGAGTCAATGCAACAGATCTCAACGCTATCGGGCGAAGGTAGATATTTTTATCCATTCCTGTTTTTTTTTACAATAGTTCTAACGCTACCGCTGCTCGAGAATGTATCTTTCCGCAAATTGCGTGTTTCTCACAATCTTGTAGAACGGCTTTTATTGTCACAAAGTCTTCGAAACAACCAAATCGCACATATTAAATAACACGTCCCGGCTTCTCTTTTCCTATGTTGAGACACGACGTACGGTTATTTAGGGCCAAACGGCACACATTTGTGACAACTCGTAAAAATAGATGTCTCAGTATTAATATAAAATCGATTTGAATCCGAAACACATAGTTAGACAGACAGACACCTGTGAATTGTTCGAATCAATGCTAAACGACGTCTTAAAGGCTGCTTTTATCACACTCGAGAGCGAACTACAAGAGGTTGGGATAGGTTGACGATGGCTAATTTATTATGAATCACATCCCTCAGCACTGATCTTATATGATATTATCATTCTATCTTTGCTGGTGGTTGCTTTATCTTGAATTCATTTTGAGAAACTGAGTCATTACTCTGATGTGAAGAATCTTGCTCAACAATATCTGTATTAGACCTCTTATACTTATCTGCACTTGCATAGACCGTTTTTGTTTTGATTGAGAAGCATTCAAAATCCATCTGATCGGTATCCGTATTTGAAGTTTTTATTAGACATCATTAAAAAAAGATTATAAATCACCCCCTAAAAATGTTTAGAATGAAATTGACAGACCAAAATCATAAAATTCCTTCAAGTTATATGCAAATTTAATAAATATAATAATTTTCAGTATTATGAATGTCACAATATTTTGTTTTTTTATGATGCCAAATGACACGCCAAATTCACTCGAGAAAAAAAAAACAACGGATTTCATATTTTTGTTACTGTTTTTCAATATTTTTTAATGTTTAAAGATTTTAGTATTTTAAGCCTAATTTCTATTATAAAATTTAATTGAACTGTTTAAATCGTACCAAACTATTATGAATGAGCACATGCGCCTTGTGTTTTTTTGTGTCATAATGAGCACCATACCCATTGGACATTTATATGGGTTCAATACGACAGAGCATACGATAGAAAACGAATCAAGATGCTACTCAAACCTAGGATGTGTTAGTTACGGCCCTGAGTGGTATCACAAACTATATCGTCCTGTAAACGAATTTCCACTAGCTAGGCACACGGTCAACACCCAGTTCTTGCTATATAGCCAGCTAGAGGGCCCATATGAGGGCCCTAAGGAGAAGCAGCCCTTGCTGATCGAAGTGGTGTCGGCAGTCCCTTCTACTGTTAACATTTCTGCTTATGTCACCGGCATGCCAGTCAGAATGATAATACACGATTTTACCAGTAGTGGTTTTACGGGTTGGATTAAGCATTTAGCCCATGCATTAATCGACGTACCAAATTCAGGAAATGTAATATCTGTTAACTGGGAAGAGGGTGCTGAACCACCGTATACTCAAGCCATAGGTAATGCTCGACTTGTAGCATTGGAAATTATACATTTTGTGGAAATGCTACACGATCACTATGGACTCGAATTTCCACATCTGCATATAATAGGCCATGGAGTTGGTGCTCATATAGCTGGTTATGTTGGCAAAGGTAAGGCCAAATATTTTTTCTATAGCACATAGCGGTACTCAAAAAACCGCGGGTAAAAAGGTTTGTTTTAGATGAATAACTAGCCATCACCTTAATTCTTACGAAAGTATTATCGTTCATTATTAGTTTTCTTGATCGTGAGCACTCTTGTTTAGTTAAAAGATTTATAAAATGTATTATTATTTTTGAGTTATATTCGACCGCTTATTGTTCGGTTATAAGATCCTAAAAGATAGTAAATAAAAAAGTAAATTAAGTTAAAAAACAATTTACAAGAGATTAGGTTAAAATTTATTCAAAGTTTGCTAATAATTATTAAAATTGAAAATGAATTGCTCAATGTCGAATTGGACCTTTAAGCCTTGGCCTCATCCTATATTTATATGATAAATACTTTATAGAATACCTTTAATTTTTACTTTTTGCGGAAAAATTGGAAACTATTATCAGCATATAATTATATGGGCTCAATTTTCACATATTATGTATGGGCTAACTTTAATACTTGGCGATAACTATAAAATAACTAGGGGCGCATGGCATCGTGCCTTAAGGCAAATTGCTGGAACTTCTCTACCGTAATTAAACATTCGAGGAATGAAATTAATAAATAATTGTTTTGAAGATTTCCAAATAAATTATTTATTATAAATACATATATGAATACATTTATGAATGCTTTTTAAATTGAGTGATGAGCGTATTTTATAAACAACTTCTGTGTACGTTTACAAAAGTCCATTTTTAAGTTAGATTTTTTTGATAATTTGGAAATTTTATAATAATTTAGAATTTTTTTCAAAATTTTGAAATTTTTTTTGAAGTTAAAAATTTTTGGAATTTAAAAAAAATCGTTCTTTTTAAATATTTTGAGAAAATGGAAATTTTTGAAAATATTCGATTTTTTTTTTCAAATTTCCGAAATATTTTCAAATTTTTGTAAGAAATATTAGTTTTTAAATTGTATTTTTTTTAAATTGTTTCAAAACAATTATTGATTAATTTTATTCCTCGAATGTTTAACCCCTTAACGCACAATATTTTTGAAAAAAAAAAACGGCTAGCGCTCGAATTAAATCGAGTGTGCAAGTTAAGGGGTTAATTACGGTACAGGAAGTTTCACCAATTTGCCTTAAGGCACGATGCTAGTTATTTTCGATTTGTTTACAAAAACTATAACTTACTCTACGGGAAGTTAAAAAAAAATTCGATCTTTTGGTTTATACGAGTATGATTAATAGGGTAAGGCGGGTCACAAAAGTTCAATTTGACTTTGAGCAATCATATTGTGGAAAAAAAACAATTATATCACAACGAATAAAACATGTTAAACGTACAACTATCTGCAAAATCAGTAAATTTCCCAGCTAATTGATCATAGTGTCTCACAAATTTCTCGAAATATGTTTCTCAAAAACTTGTCACCTGGTCCTTTTTACCCCATAGGCGGCATAAAATGGGACAGCCAGGAGGCAAACGATTCAATGTCTTATTTGTAATTTTAAAGGGATTCTACGAAATAATAGCAACATTATTCAACAAATGCAACATATACATTTCAAGGGTACATTTTTTACAGAAATAACACTGTGAATAACTTGGATCCGGTATTTCATCAGAAATAATCATAGTTGGAATAACTATTATCAGTTATATTAACTATTATCTCAAATTGCATTTTTAACTTGACTTAGTTTTATATTTAATATTATTATTATTATTATTGTTTGCCAGGGTAAACATTCATACATATGTAAGTTCTTATAAAGTTCATATAAAAAACTGTTGAATCTAACTTGAAAATAACGATACATCTTATAAAACAATTAAATAACGTAAACCTAAAAGTTACATCAAGGTCTCGTAAACAGAACAACAGTGCTCAGGATAAAAAAATAACAACGAAATAAAATACTTTTGTTATAGATTTTCAAAAATTGCCGTTTACCTTCCGATAGTGATGTCGTAAAAATGAAAGTGCCGGCTGGTCATACATCTTTTTCCCTCTTCTTTCAAATATCTTTGCTAAAAAATTCTTGACTTGTTCTTGAGATATTGCTGGTAGACCTTTTTACCCGCGGATATTCAAGACTCGCACTTCCCTATAGCATCCAAAATCATAAATAACGCATTTAAAATTGTGTATATAGAAAAAATAACAAAAAGTAATATGATTGGCAATTTCAAAATGTATACAATTTAAATTTTAGCTTGATAATAAATTAATGCTTAGTTCTTGAATATATTTTATAATATTCAATTACGCGAATTCAATACGTCATTTAATAATATAATATTAATTTTTACAGCTATTAAGGAAAATGGAAATATAGCTATAGGAAAAATCACTGGTCTTGATCCCAACGGACCTTATTTCGAAAGAATGCCAAAAAATGTCAGATTGGATATAGGCGACGCTGCTTATGTAGAAGTTATACATACAGATGCGGAACCCAATGGCCAAGGTATTATGGAAGCCATCGGCCATGTCGATTTTTATCCGAACAACGGTTATTCCCAACCTGGATGCAACGTGTCTAAAAAATATCCACATCTCTTGGAACTGACGAGGGATTCTCTAAAAGAAGGAGAGATATATCCGGGATGTTCACACAAACGATCATTTAACTAGCTGTAAGTGGAATTCTGTCTTAAGGCAATTAAGGCATCGTGCCTTGAGGCAAATTGCTGGAACTTCCCGTACCAAAAATTATTATTTTTTTAAAAACGATTAACATTTTTGAAAAAAAAAATTACTTTGAAAAAATAAGATTTTGAGAAACACACACACATACACACACACACACACACACACATACATCCATTTTTTCTAAGGTATGCTAAAATGTTCAGAAACCTCTGAAACGTAAAGATATATAAAAATTTTCATTTTCGATTTTTTTTGCGATTACTATAACTTACCCTACGGGAAGTTAAAAATGACTTTGAAAAAATAAGATTTTGAGAAACTATAAATTAGACAAAAAATTACTATTTTTTTAACTTCCCGTAGGGTAAGTTATAGTAATCGCAAAAAAATCGAAAATGAAAATTTTTATATATCTTTACGTTTCAGAGGTTTCTGAACATTTTGGCATACCTTAGAAAAAATGGATGTATGTGTGTGTGTGTGTGTGTGTGTATGTATGTATGTATGTATGTATGTATGTACGTATGTATGTATGTATGTACGTGTGTGTATGTATGTGCGGATACAAATTTTCGTCGACGATTTCGGGAACACGGATCAACCGATTTGAATAATTCAAAAAACATTCGATTTGTACTGATAAGGAGACGTGCTGATTAGTTTTTGGCGAAGTTAGGTCTAGCCGTTCCGAAGATACGGGGCAAAAAGTGCCGAAAACGGTAACTCAGTTTTTAAGAGAACGGAGCGTCCGATTTGAATAATTCAAAAAACATTTTACTTGTATTGGCAAGATGAAGAGTTGATCAAATTTTCATGAAGACAGGTCTAGCGGTTTCGGAGATCTAATGAAAAAAGTAAAAAAAAATGCCATTCGGCGGTTAGAAATGATGATTAGACATATGCACATCAAATTATCAGATATTGTATAGAAATTTTAACAATAAGTATAATTTTTTTTTACATTTCTATGGGTTCCGTACCAATGTTTATGCGTTAGACGGCGGCGCGGCACTTGCGCTGTGACAATTCGTCTCTATGCAGTTCAAGCACTACGATTGCTTTGAAAAAAAGTTCAGAATTTCCAAAATATGTCAAAATAAAGAAAACATTTTTCTTTTCAAAAAAATTGTTTGTTTTCAAAAAAAAAATTTCTTTCAAAAAAAAATTTTTTTTTTCAAATGAAAATTTTTTTTTCAAAAAAAAGTAATTTTTTGTCATATTCCTAGTTTCTCAAAAATCTAATTATTTCGAAGTAAATTTTTTTCAAAAATGTTAATCGTTTTTAAAAAAATAATAATTTTTGGTACGGGAAGTTCCAGCAATTTGCCTTAAGGCACGATGCCCTAATTGCCTTAAGACAGAATTCCACTTACAGCTAGTTTTTTTTTTTGTTTATTTTTTTTTTTGAAATTTTTTTTTTTTATTTTGACATATTGTGGAAGATCTGAGCTTTCTTTTCAAATCAATCGTACTGCTTTAACTGCATAGGGACAAAATATAAAGCGCGTAAGCGCCGCGTCGCTGTCTAACGCATAAGCATTGGTACGGAACCCATAGGACTGTAAACCAAATTTATACTTATTGTTAAAATCTCTATAAAATATCTGATAATTTGATGAGCATATGTCTAATGATCATTTTTGACCGCCAAATGGCTCATTTTTTTACTTTTTCCTCCATATCTCCGAAACCGCTAGACCTACCTTTATGAAAATTTTATTGATTCTTCATCTTGTCAATACAAGTGAAATGTTTTTTGAATTATTCAAATCGGACGCTCCGTTCTCTCAAAAACTGAGTTACCGTTTTCGGCACTTTTTGCCCCGTATCTTCGGAACGGCTAGACCTGCCTTCGCCAAAAACTAATCAGCACGTCTCCTTATCAATACAAATCGAATGTTTTTTGAATTATTCAAATCGGTTGACCCGTGTTCCCGAAATCGTCGACGAAAATTTGTATCCGCACATACATACACACACGTACATACATACATACATACACACACACATACACACACACACACACACATACATCCATTTTTTCTAAGGTATGCTAAAATGTTCAGAAACCTCTGAAACGTAAAGATATATAAAAATTTTCATTTTCGATTTTTTTGCGATTACTATAACTTACCCTGCGGGAAGTTAAAAATTACTTTGAAAAAATAAGATTTTGAGAAACTATAAATTGGACAAAAAATTACTATTTTTTGAAAAAAAAATTTTTTTTAATTTTTTTTTTTGTTTATTTTTTTTTTGAAAAATTTTTTTTTTATTTTGACATATTGTGGAAGATCTGAACTTTCTTTTCAAATCAATCGTACTGCTTTAACTGCATAGGGACAAAATATAAAGCGCGTAAGCGCCGCGTCGCTGTCTAACGCATAAGAATTGGTACGGAACCCATAGGACTGTAAACCAAATTCATACTTATTGTTAAAATCTCTATAAAATATCTGATAATTTGATGAGCATATGTCTAATGATCATTTTTGACCGCCAAATGGCTCATTTTTTTACTTTTTCCTCCATATCTCCGAAACCGCTAGACCTACCTTTATGAAAATTTTATCGATTCTTCATCTTGTCAATACAAGTGAAATGTTTTTTGAATTATTCAAATCGGACGCTCCGTTCTCTCAAAAACTGAGTTACCGTTTTCGGCACTTTTTGCCCCGTATCTTCGGAACGGCTAGACCTGCCTTTGCCAAAAACTAATCAGCACGTCTCCTTATCAATACGAATCGAATGTTTTTTGAATTATTCAAATCGGTTGACCCGTGTTTCCGAAATCGTCGACAAATTTGTATCCGCACATACATACACACACGTACATACATACATACATACACACACACATACACACACACACACACACACGTGGTAAAATTGGTTTCATAAATCATAAAAAAACAAAAACAAAATTTTCTCACGTCAGAAATTTGTTATTTTGTCGTACAAAATTTATAATTAGTTCCATCAGTTTTAATAAGTTACTAATAAGTTAGTGAGCTGAGTGATCCTCGCCTCTGGGTGCAGGTAGAATTTTTGTTAAAATGATCCCCATTAGTGGGGACATAGTGTCAAACAATGCTGGTGATGTAATCAATAAATCACACAATAATTTGAACACAACGCTATGTTCAGGTATATCAGATACAGCCCGAAACCCGCTGACCAGCTCATGCGACGGTATGACTAGTAAAGTAGAACCAGTGGCTGAACTGTCACATATAATTCCGGAAAATGTCATTTTACAACGGAATGAGTCATTGAAGTGCCTTGAGAATCTGATAAATGAACTGCATATGATTGTCAAATCAAAGTCAAACATACATAAAGAGGTGAAAATAAAAACAGGCAACATAGCGGCCGTAATAAAAAGATTTATTGATTTAGACAACCAATTGTTAGAGGAAAAAGGCCGAACCACGGATGATACGGAAGTTATGATAAATGAAGTGCAATGTTGTGAGACAGCCCCTATAGAAAAAAGTGTACGGCAGGACACAAGCAAAGCCACAAGAAACCAAAACTCACAACATATAAGCAATAATCAGGTTAATGAGAAAAATGGTTTGCCAAGACGTCAGACGATCATAGAAATATGTAATGAAGAAAAAATCGAGGTAAATGACTGGCATAAAGTTCAGCCGAGAAAACAGAAAAAAAAGGAAGCAAGGTTACATCTGTCAGAACAGGACTCTAACCATAAAATGATAAAAAATCATAGAATTTTTCCAAAACCAAATGCCTTATTAATCCGGCCGACCGAAAAAGTTAATTATTCCGAAATATTACGTCGCATCAAACATGATGTCCCTGATGACAAGGTAAATACGACAGTAGAGAAAATAAACAAAACCAGAAATGGAGACTTGTTGATAACTATTTCTAAGAAAAGTGAGGACAAAGGCCAAGGACTGCAACAGATTATCGCAGGTGTGTTAAAGGATGAGGCCGAAGTTATTTATAAGGGGCACCAAGAAACTATAGAAATAAGGGATATTGATGATGAAACCTCAAAAATTGATATCCAGATAGCACTACAAAAAGCAACCGGGGGAGCCTGCAACACACCAGCAGAAGAAATTAGGCTTCGTAAGGCATATAGAGGTACCCAGATTGCTACTGTAGCTCTTCCAGCGGCAGTTGTACACGATCTGCTCAAAGCAAGTAGCAAAATACGAATTGGATGGGTCAACTGTCAAATTAAAATCATCAAGAAACCAATTCGATGTTTTAAATGCTGGCTATTCGGACATTATGGATCACAGTGCAAGAGCGAAGTGAATCGGACCAATCTATGCTTTAGATGTGGACAAGATGGTCACAAAATAGCCAACTGTATAAATGCAGCAAAATGTGCACTATGCGCTGAAAATGGAAACTCTGAAAATGTAGCACATCATGCCGGCACTCACAGATGTCCTCTATATAGGGAGGCCATAGAGAAAATAATGAACGCAAAAGCATGAAGATAATACAGCTAAACATGAATCATTGTGAGGCTGCACACGACTTGCTTATGCAGACGGTAAGAGATATAAAAATTGATGTTGCCCTCTTATCAGAACCTTACAAACATCTAACTGATTGGCCATGGGAAACGGACAGTACCACCAAAGCCGTTATTTGGTCCTGTGGCAAGTTTTGTTTCCAAAATGTTGTTAACAATAGCAACGCAGGATTTGTCGCAGCATCATTAGATGGCATACATTTATACAGCTGTTACGCTCCACCTAGTCTTTCTTTGCCAGATTTTGTCGATTTTTTAGATCGTCTTGTGGAGGATGCAAAACGACACCACCCCGTAGCGATAGCCGGTGACTTTAACGCATGGGCGGTAGACTGGGGAAGTAGGAAGACTAATGCAAGAGGTAAAGCACTTTTGGAGGCCTTTAATGCACTTGACGTGGTTTTACTTAATAGTGGTGATAAACCAACCTTTGAAAAGGGCAGTGCAAGCTCAATAATAGACC